ACAAACTAATTACACTAAACTAAAATATATACAATTGTACGTGTCGTACGTTTGTATATGTATCATATGTATTAATAACATTGTTGATAGTTTTTATTTTATGACAACTGATAAGAAAATCTTCATTTATGTAATTAATTCAGCATCGTCTTTTATAGTTTAACCTCTAGTATCTAGGTATGGTTGCTTTATTCACTGACGTACAAATTTTGAAAAACTTACATTTTGCTACCTTGAATTATATTGTTATTTAACATATCACAATAAATTGTTAACAAATCTACAAGCCCCCAACATTTTTGTTTATCGCATTTTTTTTTTTTACATTTTGGTTTTAAACTTATTCCATATTTATATGTTGTATTTACCCTTTATTTGTGTATATAATTTTTGAAATAAGTTTTTTTTTTTACTTGATTAATGTTATCGACTATAGAATACTTGTATCACTGGATATTACTAAAATCAAGAAACACAAATACACGCTTATTTTGATAGCAGTTAAAAGTGCTCTCTTTTAAAGCTCAAATATGTTGTTTTGACATTCGATTTTTAAGAATATTTTAATTTTTTAGAAAAGTAGAAAAATATAATAATATAATTAGTCTTTTAATGTTTGTCGTTATGTTGATTGTTATTAATTTCCGTTTTTCACAATTTTGAAAACTATAGCAGTAGAATAAGACTTTTTAAAAATATTAGACTGGGGTCACTATGAATGCATATCATCACTATAAATATTGGTTTGAATATTTAACATTCGAAATACTAAGAATGAGTTCTTTTATCTTTCTTAAAATGACTTCTTTTTTTTTAATGAATGAAGATATAATTATGTTTTAAATAAAATCGAACCTCTAATAGCTGAACATGAAAGTTACTTGGAAAAAAAATGTATGTAAAGAAATATTGGAGTTTTTCACATTAGAAATAATTAAATGTATTTTATTATGGTTAAAGAAGAATCAAAGATAATTGTTTAGAGTATTTCATTTCAATATCTATTAATTAATTTTCTTAATCGCTTGTGATCTTCAAAACATTTATAAGTTTTTATGTTGATACTCAACATAAGTATATCGGTATGCTATAAATTAGTTTAAATAACTATATTTTGTTATCACTTTTTTTTTTTTTTTTATACAGATTTTATTTAGTTAAACTTTTTCTTTTACAATTAATGGTTTTAGTAGCCATGTCTATACTAAGAGATATTAAATTAAACTGAATTTAAAATGAAATTTCAATCTCTGTAACGTATTAGGTTTGAAAAATCTCACACATTTGGGAGCCGCATTTTCTTTTACTTCTTATACAAGGATTCCTATGGATGTAAAAAAAAATATATATTGTATTGATAGTTTTTAAATTTATTGAAACATTAATTCGATATATCTTAATATTTATAATCTATATAAGAATGGAGATGTAATATTGATATTGCCAAAAGAACATAAATATTTCAGTTATATTTAATCTTTGAAAGATAGGGAAAAAAGGGTCAACATTGAATCTAATTTTAAATTATTAAATTTTTTAAGTCTTCATAGCTAAAATAAAATATTTATATTTTGATTGTCGCCCAAAAAAGTGTCAATTAACTTCATAAATCCTATTAATAGCAACTAGAAAAAATACTTAATGGCCTTAACATAAAAAATAAATAAAATTTATTACAAAAAAACGTTATTGAATGATTAAAAACCCGTAAAAGTATTAAGAATTAATTAGGTTCTATTTAATTAATATTGACTGAAACATATCAAAATTAGATATTTTATATCATTTTTTATTTATTTTTATTTTTTAAATATCGTTTTTCAGTTTTCGAATTTTACTATTAATATTTTTCTAACGTCCCTAGGTCATCTTTCCCAAGTTCCAATTGCTTTGAGAATTATGTCTTATTTAATTATTATCTATCATATCTGTTTTACATACATATCTTATAAGCAAGTTTTTTTTTTTTTTTTTCATGATAATCATATAAATTTTTAATTTACTATTTATAGAGGCATTTTATTTCAATATATAGATTTTTTTTTTTTTTCGAGTGCTTTAGAGGTTTGTCGTTATTTAAATCATAACATTTTATGTGAAAACAATAATTTATTTAGATGGAGCTTAAGTTTTATATGTGCCAATATCAATTTATCTAAAACTAAGTTATGTCTCAAAAAGAATTAATTCTGAAACTGTAAGTTTTGGTGATCAATTGAGAACTTTCATTCAAAAATTGCTCATAGTGATCCTTTCTCAAGTTTTGTTTTTAATTGTAGACGAGCTGGTGATGCATTTATTTGAGATGTTATTTTACCTAAGTTGTTTTTCAAAATATTTTAATTGATAATCCTATCGAGAACATTTCAGAAGATTCACCGTTCATTACTACTATTTGCGAATCATTTCTTAAATGTGTAAAATATTGAAAAAGAAAAACTAAATTCCTTCCTCATGCTTATTCAGATCCTAGTCCATTCCTGTGATATAAAGTTTTAACTATTGGCTATTTATATTGTTATCTGAGAGATAAAGTAAATAAAATTAACTGTTTCATGTACAGAAGCAGTCTGATTGTTGTGTTCTTATTGAACACTCAACAGATTAAATATGTCAAGGAAGTATTGTTTGAAGACAGGGTGTCGAATGATATCAAGTTCGGTTTGCTGAATATAACAAGCCATGCTCAGCTCAAGTTACTTTTGATATTTTTATTCCTTTAATATATTACAAATTTGAATAAACATTAAAGGATCATTGTTTCAATTTTATTTAATCCTTTGAATTTTTTTTTTTTATGGACAGGGAGAAGACTTATAAACTAAATGTGGTGTAAAATTAATTGGTATATGCATAAATTAACCTTTAGATGCATGAATTTAAAAAAAAAAAAAATCCCTTTACCACTACAACCTATGAAATATCTTGGGTTCAGCACTTAATATAGGTTGGGTGTGCCCCAGAAAGGTCTCCAGACCCCAGGGTTAATTCACAGCGGATGAAACAAAATAAATAATCTGCGTACAACCGGATTCAAACTTAGGCCCTTGAGCTGTTAGGAAATTTGAATAATTTACATATTTCTATTAGAGGGACTTCTTGTATGAGGGTTATAATATAATACTGTCAAGAAACAAATTGATCTTTTAATATATTATTAATCACAGAGAATATCTACATTTCTTTCTGATTTTGAACCGAAAAGATGAAATATATATTAATTAGTTAAATAATGAGTTGTTTTTTTTCAAATTAATGATTCAAATAAGAAGTATTAACAAAATTGTCTAAATTTATATCTATTAAATAATTTTTTACTTTTGCTTACCTATTTATGAAGAAATACATAATAAAGGAAAGTATTGCGATTGTGAAAATTTTCGAATCTCAGTTTTCAACGGAAATACACGTTTTGAGGTCCCCTGTGTCCCAAGAACCAAGTCCCAAAAAAATTGTCTGTGTGTGTGTTTTAACAATTTAGCCCAAAAATGAAAATTCGCACGAAAGTGCAATTGTATATTTAAAGTTTTTATATGTCTGGGATGTTATTACTTTTTCTTCAAAATCGTCTCCCGTAAAGTTGCACTTTATTTAATACACCGATTTAACTCATTTTTACGATTTTCTCATATACGGCTCTTACGATTTTGATTAAACTCATTAGGTCAGTGTATTATTAAGTAGTTTTTAATTTAAGGTAGGTTTTATCCTCATCCATGCAACTTGACAGGGCCTAAATGACGATTTTTTTTCAAAATGACTCCCCCTAAAGTGCCTTTAATTTTCTTTACTTGAAATAATTAACCATTTCCCATTAATCTTTTATATAAAAAATAGTTAAATATAAAATTTGATTATTAACTAATGGAGAAATAAGATATCGTAACGGTTAATAGTTGTAATGCAGGAACACGAGCTCGCTCGAATTATTAGCACAGGCTTCAATACGTAACATGAGTTTAATATAATACCGACTCTGACAATATCATGCACACTAACTAGCCAATCCAGGGTTTAATTTTGGAGGGTTTTCAGCCCGAAAACTTTTTTTTTTTCCATATAAATAACGATAATTAATTTGGAAAAAAAGAAGAAACTAACTACCTATACGATATGGTGTTTAAGTGATTCTTGAAGTCCTATTAAATGTAATTACACCAACAATAATACTTAAAGAGTTAGTTTTAAATATTTTTTTCCATAAAACATGGTTATATTTTACCATTTTGGGGGGCATTGGCCCGAAAGCCTCCCCTCTCTCCGTAGATCCTCGTGTGTGTGCATATACACGTGCGGTCTTCATAAATCATATTGTTGGTATTATTTAATATTTAAATATATAGATTACAGCAGCATAAAAATTAAAATTTATCTATATAAGGGTAATTAAACAAATAAAAATACCCATAATTAAGTGTAAATAAATATAGTGTCTATAATTTTTAATTTCACTTCTCCTTTGTCTGAAAATACTAATTTTTGTCATAATCACTCTCCAAACCATAATTATAAGTAAATCTCTTATTTTGATTAAGTACACATTTATAATAAATGTAATTTTCTTGAAGCTTATATCCATGTATAAATATAAAAAATAAATGCACCTATCTGTCTGAGTCAAATCAAGAAATCCAAATAGTGTTTTCTGATCAAATTCGAGTTCATTCACTCTTATAAGAAAAAATAAAAAAAACTATAGCTCACGTTCAGTAAAGTTGAAAGCTAGAGTTATATATTAAATACGTTTTCCAGAACCGGATACTGGCCATTTAAATGTCTGACAATTTTTCACAGAAACAGTTTCCATAACCCTTAAACATTGGAAGAGTCCTGAGACAAAAAAGTCTTCAATTAAAGTCGAAACACGAAAGTTACGTGATGACAGTATTTAATTTTATATAATAACTTAATAATGGAGTCCTTGGTCGATTAGATCGCGTTTTTAATAATAAAAGTGGACTGTGAATGATTTTATCAAGCCAAATCCTGGAGGACACAGGATGTCACTTGGACTATATAGACACAGCAACCCAGTACTCAAACATTGTACTCACAACTGTTCGTTAGTGTACATTCGTAGACATGAAGGCTTACCTGGTTCTTCTGTTGGTATCTCTTTGTGTAAGTTGGCTTAATTTTTAACAAAGTTTCAAGTTGATAAACGTTGTTACTACATACATATAGTTTACCTCATTATTTAAAAGTATTTAATTCTCTGCAATGAGTTTTAAGCTTAAGTCTGTTGGTCTAAAATTTAGATTTTATTTTGTTTTTTTCAATATATAAATACAATGTAATTGGTTACCTGCAAGCAGTTTGAGAACGCTAGGAGACAATGGCGTTTATTCAACGGACTAACGTAAAGCTACTGATACTTTATGGAGTATAAATAGAATCGCGAAGTCTTGGGGTAAACGAAAAACAATTTTTTTGGAGCGGATAACTTTCTAATAGTATTCAAAAGTTGATTTTTTATGTCACTAAAAACTCTAAAAAAATATTTTGTTATATACTTACGATAGAATCCACATATATCTCCGTAAGAGGCTTAAAATTATAGTTACGTGCGAATAAATTGAATTTTTCTCTTGTTTAGTTTTACAATATTTTGATCAAATATTATTTTAATAACTATCAATAGGCCCTTCTTTACTATAAAAAAAAATTGTATGAAGTTTGAGTGTTTTAAATTTAAATATAAATATTAGTAAAATAGGCAAAGACAAAATAGTCCAGTCTCTTTTTCTTCTATATTTTTCAAACTATTTTCTTTTTTTTGTTGGTAGATATTGATGAGCTTTAGCGCAATCAATTAAAAAAATTGTATATAGTAATAATATAAATGTTATTTTGACCAAACCGCTAATATCCGAAATTTCTTCACAGATTGGTTTGAAATTTTGATATAACGTTAATATAAAATTCCTGGATATTTAGATTTTTTTTTTTGAAATGGCGGTCGATAGATGTGTGTAGCTATATACTGCAGTGCTAAACGGCTGTAACAATTTTAATAAAACTTGGTTAAAGTCTCCTGCTTAAAGTCTTTTTAATTGATGTATATATGTACATATGCGTCTATATATTGATGTCTATACAAATTGCTTTGTTAGGGCCTATTTTTAAACTCTGACTGAAAAGATAATAAAGTTTCGATCGTGTGATTTTCTAAATTATTAAAAACTATAAAGTGTACGAACAAACATATGCCTTTAAGAAATAATAAAATTAATAGTCTGTGGTACAGACACCTTTTTTTGAAATCAAATTATTAACATTCGGCTGAAACTTTGTAAATACTTCATCTCGTCGTAACCTACAAATATTTTATTTACGAAAATTCTCCGAATTGGGGCGATCTTAATTTGGAAGGGGCCAAACTTGGTCTTTTTAATTAGTCACTAAAAACTCGTAATTACATATTTGCTTTCTACTTGAATGGTAAGATAATTTGGTCACAAAATCGAGAAAAAAGGTGGCCTTCAAAAATATTGAGCCGTTTGACGTGACCTACACCCTCAAATTTTCAAAATAACGAGGTTATATAGGACAAACGGCCCAATATTTTGTACATGTAGGCCACCTGTTTTATCTATTTTGTGATTATTAAATTATCTTAGGACCACAGTAGAAAGCAAATGTGAATTTACGAGTTTCTAGTACCTAATTAAACAAAGTTTGCCCCTCTCCAGATTGAAAACGCCCCAGTTCCAAGAGTTTTCGTAAATAAAATAGTTGTAGGTTACGTTGAGATGTAACTATTTACGAAGTTTCAAGCGGATTTTAATAATTCGATAAAAAGGGATCTGTTCCACGGATTATATAATGTATCAGCCAGGAAAAGAAGTTTGGTAGTATAGCAAGTGCAGTATCTTTAAAGAGAAAGAAATTATTAAGTATACCAAAACTAATGGATTGTATCTTTGTAAATAGTTGTCCGATTCATAGATTTTTTTTTTTTTTTTTTGTAATTTAGTAATCTTTCTAATAATCATTGGCACAATAGAGAAAAGATGCATACTCTTCGAGTTATTCGTATATAAACATTCTTTTCCTTAATTTTTTTTTTCATAAATTTCGCAGGAGTAGTCTTATTTTTCGCTTGTAAATGAAAAAAAATATCTTCAAAATGAGTGGTCAATAATTGGATTTGATGAATACATTTTTTTAAAATAACATATAAGATTAAATAGGATTTTTTTTTACATGCTTGGATGAAATAGGCAGTGATGAGGGAGACAGCTTCTCAAGGCGCTGGAGTAGGAGCAGGCAGCGAAGGGAAGATTGGCTTCGGGATGCAAGGAGGGGCAGGAGCAGGGGGTGGGGCAGGATCAGGAGTCGGGACTGGACGCTTGACCTCACTCCACAGGGTCCTCCGCCAGCTACCTCCCGTCCCATCAGGATTACCAGAAGGAATGCCAGTGCCTCCAGGTATTCCTGGCCGTTGAGAACCTCCTCTTAAAATAGTCAATGTCTTCTTGTTCTTTACAAATAAATAACTGTAATTTTATCATTATTTTATTCCTAACAATCACCTACTCACTATTTATAACATGTATCAGTTGTAACCTGTTAAAAGTTAATTGTTAATGACCTTTTTGGCGGGTCGATAGCGAATAACCTTCCGTTTTATCGGGGACTAGGTTATTTACACTCGTGAATATTAAAACAAAATCCCAGCACTGGATATTGTTTTTGAGGTTGTTTAACTGTCTTTGGGAATTCGGGAACCTAATGCTTTCGTGACATTGAGTGACCAGAAATAATAAGGTTATATATATATGAAATGTGGGACTGAGTAAATACACTTTGAATGAATTGATTAACCTGGCTTGTTATTCTTCGATTGTAAGGCCTAAAGGACAACTAAATAAATAAATGACTTTTCACTCCTGTCTAACAAAACAATTTATTTTACAACTGTAATAAGTGAAAATATTAAAGTCTTATAACTTTAAGCTTGATATTCTTAGTCTTCATTGTCCTCCTTTCTTCTTGTCCAGGCCTAAAGTGCCTTCTCTTCTCTCCAGCGTCCTTCTCCAGCTGTTGCTACCTGCTCCGTCCTATTCCAACCTTCTTCCTCCTTCATCCATTGTTTATCGATATGAGAATTTTCAATGAATAATTTGTCCACTGCACAATTGAGTACAATTCATCTTGCAACCTTATAGTCCTCTTATTCCCTCACACAATGTCACATAAAGGAGTAAATACAGGGGTTGTCTACTACACACCACAACCTAATTTGTCAATCCAGTAATTTGTCAATTGCTGTTTCTATGTCTACGTTTGGTGGTGCAATGATACCACCTTCATTTTGAACAAGAAGCTTAATATATATATTAGAATGATTTTAGTGAAATAACTTGAAAGAAATAGCTTATATTAAAAATACATTTTTTTTTATCAGCTTCAAATAAATTGAAATTGAATTCACATAAAACCAAGGCTATTCTCATCAGTTACAGGTACCTTCATTAGTCCCCTTCCTTAATATCCTTTCCTTTACCTCAATAATCAACCCATCCACTTTTTTTCCGATAGTTAGAAATCTAGGAGTATCTTTTGATCCAGAATCTTGTCGGGAATATTTTCGTGATTTTATTGCTCAAAACACCAGATAGCTCCTTGTAACCCCTTTATTTTCTCCCACATTGACTAAGGTTGCTTGGTGTATGAAGGGCTGTCTGTAATACTGGAGATGAGATTGAAGAAACTTTTGAATTGTTTTAATTTATATGTTTAATTAATTCCTTACTGTCGTCAAGCAATAATATCCCGGCATATGCAAATCTACAGGAAAGGAGGCTTTCTGGCTGAAGCCCTCTTCCTGAAAATGGTGAAGTTTAATCATGTTTTATGGTAAAAACGTATCTCTTAAAGTATTATTGTTCGTGTAATTACATTTAATAGGACTTCAAGAATCACTTAAACACCATTTTATGTAGGTAGTTAGTTTTTTCCCAAAGTAATTATCTTTATATATATATATATATATATATATATATATAAAAGCTTTCGAGCTAAAGTCCACTCCAAAATTAAATGCTGGATCCGTTTGTTTACTCAGGTATTCGTAAATTTATACTAACCCACTATTATACTTAAAGAAACTTACTAGGTTGATGCTGTGTGGCCATTGTCATCTTACTAAAAAAATATTGGCCCTTTTTGTTCCAAGATATATAATCTCCCAATGTATCAGTCATATAAATCTCAAAACCCTGGTAGCGAATAATGGAAAGTTTTCCATGGCAATTGTGGTACCTAGGAGGCAATCTTTAGAATTCATATCAATGTATGAAACAGGTGTAAAAATAAATAATAAAACAACAATAAATAAAAAAGAAACTTGTAAAATTTATTTGGCTTTAATGATAACAACTATCTTAGAGCGACTTCTGTTTTGATCAGATCTCAGATTTGTTACATTTTTTTGCTATGAAAGATGATTAAAGTGATACAAAATAAATAAATATTAAACAACTTGCTTTGAACAGCTGAGAGCTGGCCTGGTAGCGACGATTATCATGAGCATTGGGCTCATCCGAAGCTAAGAGGCTAACTCAAATCTTAGAGACTGCATCCTCATTTCCAAAAATGAAAATAATGGCTTTAGATACTTGGATTGAGTTAGAGTTTGTTGTCTTCATCTTCAATAGGTATCGGGCCAGGTCCTAGGTCCTTGACCTCTTGGCGAACCGTTTTGAAGGTGTTCCTCAGGTTATCGAAGGCAGTGGCAAGGTCCCCTTTCGTTTGGTTGAACTCTTGAGTGACGAGGAGCAGCCTGCCCATCAAGTAGTTGAGATTTTCCTTCACGTCGGAAACCCTTCCAGTGATCTCTACCACCCGGCCGTCCATACTGTCCATCGTGTTGAGACTTCCATTCAGATATTGCTCGGTTTGCACTTGCAGTTTCGACAGAGCGTTGGCGGAGTTAGTCAGTTGTTGGTACATGATTCCAATTTGTCGCCATACTTGACTGATCTCGTGGTCAATCTTAGAGCTCAGATTGAACACTCCTCCATTTTGGTTCTCGAGGATAGTTTCGGAAATATCGTTGAATCTGTTATTGACAGTGTTGTTTAGCTCTTTGGTTTCAGATTTGACAAGCTCTCCTATTCCTAGCAGTATTTCTTGTACACCATATTCTACCCTCTTTCTCGTGTCAAGTACGTTGTCGGCAGTTTGAATCAGAACTTGCTCAGCCTTTGTCAGCGACTTTACATCGGAAGAGAGTTCATCCTGAGAGGTTTTGGCTTGACTGAAATAATCCTTGAAAGAGTCTTTCAAATCTTGACTCGTTTTATAGACATTTTGTAATTGGTTAGTGGATCTCATAATTTCTTGTAATTTGGCGTCTATATTCATGAGTTTGTCTGAACCCAAGTAATCTATACCATTCTTTATTTTAGCCAACTCCTCTTTGGTATAGTTGTCGACTTCATGTTTGTTATTGGAGAGCAATAATTCGTTGTTTGATTCTAGCTGCTCGAGCTTACCGATCACGGTATTATGCCATTTCTCTTGCACTCCTAGCTGAGATTCGAGTTTACTATAGAGCCCGTCATTGCTAACAGCTTCCTGTAACTGGTTTAAGGAATCCAACAACTGAGTTTCTATCCTTCCTACCATTGAAGCTAATATCTCTATTTTACCATTCACAGTCGACTCCATCTTTTCTACTTGGTCCTTGCTTACAACGAGATCTGTAGACGGTGCCTGTTTGTTGAGCATGCCTTCTACATTAGACATCCATGACTGCAGGGGAACTGTGTCAATGACGTAAGATCCTTTTTCTCGTTCATTCTGAAACATGATTTATTTTTTCTTAAAGTGAATGATCAGAAATAGATTCTGCAAAAGTAATGCAAACATTGCCTACAATAAAATATAATTCTTAAAACATGGGTTGTTTTGTTTCCCAGGTATTGTATTATTGGATACTTCTTATTCTAAATAAATCTATATGACAAAGTGATGAGATTCCGGCTTACCTTCTGGTCGAGCTCGCCTTGGATCTTGGCCAACTTCTCCTCTACCCTGACGAGAGCAGCACTGACGGCGGCGATGGCAGTGTCCTGGGACCGCTCCCTGGTGTCGAGACCTCCAAGAGCCTTCCTCAGCTGGTCGCCGAGCTGTCTCTCCCTCAGCTCGTGGCGCTCCAGCTTCTGCGTCGTGGCCTGGAGGAGGTGCACCAAGGAGATGATGGCGTCCCGGATGTCCTCGTGCCTGTTGCAGAATGGAGGATCAGTATTCGGCTACTCCTTAAAGATAATCCACAATAGACTTACGTCACTGCACTTCGCCTAGGCTCAGGAGGAACAGATAGCACCTGATCTTTGCCCGCCATAAGGTATACCAACATTGATACGATTTCAACCCTCATTTTAATCTTCCCTGAAAGTTAAGAAAATGTATAAATTGAAAATTCTTATCCAGTTCATTTACTAACAAAGTTATGGACTATATAAGTAAGTAAATTAATATAGATATACGCGTCGTACGGATGGTGCAAAAATAAAAGGGGAAAGACCGAAGCTGAAAGAGATACACGGAATTACTGCTGATGCCAGAATTCTTGGAATCAGATAATAGTTGACAGCTCTTCAGGACGAAGAAGTGTAGAAGAGGATTTTTGAGGCAGCCAAGATCCGATAATGGACTATAGAGCTCAGAATGATGATTTATAATTTATGTGTTACAATATTGTCCTATTTTCTCACCATAGTTATCTTAGTTCTAAGAATCACCTTGGGAACACAAGTCATGCTGTGTGAACTGCCAACACTTGCATATTATATTCTTATGATTAGACGTTCTGTGATATATGTATCGTTATTAAAATTATTCTTTATTTTGATTTAAAATGTTTTATTATAAACTTTAAAAAAAAGTCTGTGCTTTCGCATTGGAGATAATAGGTGCGGTCTTCACTGTTAATTGAATAAATCCAGTTGGAAGGAACAGGACGACGTAAAAATACCTCAGAAGCATGCTGAATATCCCAATCACCTTAAAATAAATTATGATAATAAACTTAGAAATAGGTTCTCAAAATAGAAGATTTGATTAATTTAAATTCCCCATGTGGATATGCTAAATTTAACGTCTTGTAGTGCATTTCCATATTACCAAATGCAAAATTTGAAACTTCTCTTTGATACAACGAAAACCGTATAGTGAATAAATACTCAAGTAATGATATTACCCATGGATCTTTTTAACTATTAAGTATGCACAGTTGTTTAAGGAAGTGTCATCAAACTTATTTTCAAACCCTATAGCCTACATGAATTTGGCATTTTCAATCGTGCATGTGTGATTTATCGTTATTATTTTTTTTAAAGTATTTCCCTGATCACACGGAGGATTATGTGTTTGAATATTCTGGTAAAAGATATGTATCGATTTTTCTGATCGAACGGCTGGACCAATTTTTAAGTTCGATATCTCAAATTAGAGAACGAGAATACTCAGAAGGGAGTTTCATGGGTGCGCCATCAAAATTTTTGAGAGCGGCACATTTTGACAGGATTTTTAATTTTTGAGGGAGTACATTTCGACGGAGTAATGGGTTTTCGGGGGAGAGATTTGTGCGCCTTTGATCTTGGGAGGATGGACACTCTGGCTGAGATCTCGTGGTCTTTTGCACCAATGCGAACTCAAAACAAGAACAAATATGTGTTCCGGAGGTGAAGGACGCCATGCCAATTTATTTATTAATTGATTCTATTAATTTATCATTTCATTAAATGGCTCCCTGAACAAATACAAAAATGTGACATGGTGTTCATTTTCTTTCGGGTACAGAAATTACTTCGTAGATCATTTCCTTTCACAAAACATCATGTTTCCTGCCAAGTAGATTTTGTCCAATGTATCTGTGCAAGATAAAATTTAAAAAATATTGAGTTTTGAATGCATCTAACTGCTACACAATGTTTAAATATACGTAGGTGGGTCTATCGATTAGTATTTTTAATTAACTATCGATTAATAGGTTGAAATAGATATGCAAACAGCTTCCCTTAAGATGGATAGGATTTCCCAATTAATGTAGTCAGGTTTCGTTTTCAATAAAAATATTTTTTCCTTATATTGAAATAATTGAAAAGATAGTAAATTTGCAAGGGCGGTAAACAAGCTGAAAACCTGGAAAAAGTCAGAGAATTTTCAAAAAACGGAAAAGTCAGGGAATTTGTTTTGTAAGTAAATATTTTTCTCAAATCGGAAATAAATATACAACTGATATGGTTTATACTTAGAAAATGACCATGAAGGAGTAAATTTCGTCATTATAAATGAGCACACTATATTCGTCCATTTTTGACAGTCAATAACGCCACAGGTCGTTTATTAAAATCAAACCAGGGTTATGAATAAAATTTAAGCAAAATGGACTTTAAAAAGTGTTTTTTTTTGAAAAGAAGAACATACCAATACTATTTACTACTTGTAATATATACATCAATGGACATATTTTTTTAAATATATAGTAATGACCTTCGTAATGGTAATTCTGTCTATAGATATAATATCCATCAGAACATTTTTCAATCTTAGAATGTAGAGTCCGATCGAATATTAACTTTTTAAAAAATTGCGTTTTGAATATGTCGGTTGGCTAAACCTTTGCAATCCATTCGGGTTATTAGACACCCAATCATTAGTCTAAAATCAAGATGTTGCTCTAAATGTTATATACCTAGATTATTATAACATGAATTAGGAACTAACGATGGAGCACATTATTTGTAAGCCTTGTATCCACAAGATCATTAGGATTGTAGTTCTGAAGATAGGAGTAAATATCCCGAAACGTAAAATTGTAAACATGCAATTTTGATAATACAACAAATATATTTAATTGTTGCTAATTGGAAGTAATCATTGCCAAATAGCTCAGTATGCATTTTTAATATTTGTGTCTCCAGGCATATTGTTCAGAGAAAACTATCACTAAATATGGAAAAGAAAGGAAATTTTACTTTAACTATCTGGTAGCCACTCTGATAATGTAGAACGGCACATTCCCAAGAGAGAATGTAAGATCTCAGTGTACTCATCAAAGAGCACAGGAGGATCTACGGTGGGGGGGGGGGGGAGATGCTTTAGGGCTGAAGCCCTCCTCAAAACTTTAAATATAACCATGTTTTATGAAAAACAAAAGTATCTCTAAAAGTATTATTGTTCGTATAATTACATTTAATTGGTCAATGCTCGCTACTTTGTCACAAATAAAATCATCCATAACTACCTTAATGTACCATAATAAACTATCCTTCCATAATAAACTTCTAAACCATCCGAACCCTCTTGTTTCCAACCTTGGTTCCTCTTCTATTCCTGATAACCCTTCGAGGCGTCTGAAAAGAAGATGGCCTCGGGATCTGCTAATATAGAAATATAATTGGTGTGCTACCAATGGGTAGTTCCCCTTCATGTTGTACATGTCATGTTACTTATTTCATATTTACTAGTTGTATTTATCATTTAATACAGTTGTAAATTTCAATAATATTAAAAAAATAAAATAAATAACATTTAATAGGACTTGGAGAATCACTTAAACACCATATAGGTACTGAGATTCTTTCTTCCGAAGTTATTATCGTAATATATAAATTTTAAAGAAAAATTTCGGGCTGGAGCACCCCAAAATTAAATCCCGGATCCGTTAGTGCTAGAGAGCATTTATGTTAGTATCAACCCGCATTTCATAAACAGTGATTATTACTGGTTATTTTTTTCATAGAGGTCAAGAGACTTTTAAGTTATGCCACTGTCAAAACAAAGAAGGGACCGTAAATTATATATAGTTTGAAAGGATGAGTAAGATAGCAGATGGTAGATGAAATGGCTAAACAAAACATTGAAGTGGCCATTAGAGCAGATGTTGACCACCCTCGCTGTTATCAACTCTAAACACCAACTCTAAACTCTAAACTCCCATCTCTAAATAGAAACCGCCTGGTTTAGATTTAGATTTGATACGATAGCGGCGCACTTTATGCTCTCCACGTGGCCGGCATAAAGTTCCCTCAGCTGTCAGTACTCAACAATCAACAGGCAACCAGTTCATCCACTAAATTATGCAACCGACATATTGTGATAATCATTTGATGAATAGGCGTTGACTTTGGAGGAGGAGAGAGAAGAAGAGGTGGAGAAGCGATCGCCCTTAATAAAAATAGAAGTAGAGATAATATCGTTTTGCCTCCTAGTATTTCGATGAATAAAAATAAAGTCAAAATCAATAACAACTGAAATAGAACAGACTTAGGCTAAGCTAAGTCCAAGAAGTAGGTACGCAAGTTTTTAATCAATTTATTTCAATAATTAACTAAAATTATATCCCACTCAAGACCCACTTCTCAGGTATTTGCAACAAAGTGCAATTTTATTTTCGAGAAAAAAAATTCTTGTAATCATTTAAAAAAAAATTAATAAACGCCTTCAAGAAATCCCATCCCTGATAACTTTTCAGATAACCTCTGACAGATCATAATTGCAACAAACTATCATTCTGTATAAAATATTAACTCTGACCAGCTCTACTCTCTTATTATCAACTTTATGTGGTATATATATATATATATATATATATATATATATATATATATATATATATATATATATAGTATGGCGGACAACCGGTACATTAAAAAAGAAAATGATTTTTTACTTTTTTGTAATCATAACCAAATTAGGTTATATTATACATTTTATGATTTATATACATAATATTATATTATCAGGGTACTAATTTATGGAGGATAGAGAACTGCTTAACAATCCAGCCAATCAATATGATCAGGAAGATTCAAAAAATGGAAATGGAAAAAGAAGCGTAAAAAAAAAAAAATGATAACGAGTTATTTTTAACATTAGTAATAAAATATCTCAGAAGCTAAAAATCTATCCTGCAAACTGTAAGAGAGAGAAAATTTAAGCATTTCATCCTGTTCCTAATGAGTTATAAATCAATATTGTATAATATTTTTTTAAAATAAACATTAGGTTCGGATAGTTCGAATGATCCAGATGAAAGCACAACAAAATATTGGAATAACGATTAGATTTTTGTACATAGATTTCAATCAAAAGTGTTCATCGCATATTTTAGTTATCATAAAGTTCATAGTTTAGTTATCATATATTGTTACATTTTTAGAGTATGTTTCAAATGACGATAAGTCAGATCAAAGTTTATCAAAGTAATTTATACACAATTATAATTACCCTAATGGTCAGAATACGTTAATCAAATGAGTATTTGATTGCAATTTATTTTCATAGTTTCAGAGAATCTCCGTCCTCTTCAGCAATCTAAAATAATACAATAATTATATATTTTTTATGTAACGTTTAAAAACAATATCTGATAAATAAATAAA